GCTTTCAGAAGGAAGAAAACTTTGATTCACCAGAATAACTTCCACCAAGTGCAATCCATTTGGGTTCAGTCATTCGTTCACGTCTATTAATATGATCCACAAAATTTTCCACGTCTCGAATCGCTTGTCTTGCGTTCAGATACTTCAAATTTGGTTTCGATAAATCCCTGCAAATCTTCTGTTCAACTATCACCATTGTTCAGTCGGAAACGAGAAAGTGAACGTTCGCAGAACATTGCCAGCATGCGAGTTGATTATTTTGAAAATAATTTGCAGTCAGCGAATGCAAAAGTTATCATTCATTTCTCCTTTTCACACTTTTGCAACTATCTGACCAATGATCAAAACAATGACGATAATAATGGTCGTCTCACTTCGCCGGTCTACTCAGCCCATAATATCGATGTTCCAGCAAATAAATGCTTGCATTCATCTGATCGGCCAGTAAAATATGTGGCAGCTGTTGATTGCTGAGCCAGTTTCGGTCTGCAGCACCTTCACCGCCAAGTACCAAAAAAACTGGTCCATCGGGTGCTTGTGATGGCGATTTACGATGCATAAACCACTGAAAAACCGATTCATTTTCGCTGATTATGGTGTGAAAGTCCTTCGGTTTGCTTGAAATCCATCATTGAAATGGTCACTTTACTCACATTTACACGGTAATAAAATACCTACAGTGTTTCAAACAATTCCCATACAACCACGTGAATGGTGTTGATTTTCGCCAACAAAAGTCAATGAATCACGAGATTTTTAAGTCTCAAATTAAAAGTTCAGTCAAAATTGCTCAGTTCAGATCAACTTCATGTTTTAACCTTTTTAGAGATAAAATTCCTCAAATTATTCTCATTCAAAACGAGTAATCGTCCATATTGAGCATTGCTTAAGGTGAACTGTTAAGAAATTGCTTGTTTAAGACGTAAGATAACTTGTTCTTCAAAAAAATATGCATACCTTTATCACCAAATGTCAGACTAAATCACTGTCACATTTAGTTATCAGTACAATACGAATATTCATTCGCAATCAAAATTTGATATGATCATCGAAATTGGCAATTCAATTCAATCTCTTACTGGACAGATACATTCTGAGGAATACACTTCAGCGAATTTGGTGAAGAGATGAAACTTTACGCACTCAAATAAATTCAGACTTTCCCCTACCATGGCGTAGAATTTATAATTAGGTATGAATTCAACAATGCGATAATTCGAAGCTATGAAACATATCTAAATGTTAATATGCTCATCGTATGTTACTTCAATCTCTTATTGGACAGATACATAATTCAATCTCTTACATATTTAAGTGTTAAATCTAAAAGTTCAGTCAAAACTGCTCACAATCAGTTCAGATCAACTTCATGTTTTATCATGTAAGCAAAAGTGAAAGTGAAATCAAAATCGTCTATGATCCAGATTAAAACTGTCCTATCAAGAAGGCTATAAATCAAAATGACTGAGATGCTCAGTTGCAATTCAATTGATCGTGAGCATTTTGAGTGTTTCTATGTACGGTTTTTCTTTTGCTTGAATAAAATCTATGCGGACAACATGATATTCACCTGATTCCAGTGGCCTGTTCCGTTGTCGCTGAAATGATCCAGCTTCTGCTTGACAATACTTCGGCCGATTAACGTTCGCGAACGTTGCAAATTCTTCACTCCGTTCACCTCGGGCGGTGTGGTGCGAGGCAACACGTCAAGACCAATATCCGAGATTTCAATACGTTCATAGCAATCAATTGATAGCCACTGAATGGCACTGACGATCACGAATTGCAACAGCAGTGTACGCTGACGTGTGACGTTTCTTAACATGATCTCTGAAATTGGGGCAATTTTTGGCTTGTAGATCAAAATTTTCATCCTTTGAACAAACTGTAATGCGGAGACAATGCACAGTCAATATTCATATTCATAGTTTTACTGCCCTTAAGTTCATTTGATCATTTTGCTAACTTGGATTTCTTAAGAAATAGCAACATCTAGCTGAAACGAAATCTATTGTCGACTTATTATCATGATTCACGGTTAACAGTGAAAGCATGCGATTTATATATGAACCAATGATGTGAGAAAAATCCTTCAGAACTTCAACTTTTTCAAATGTAATGCAGACATCGGCGAATTTATGAAACGATTAAGCTCATATTATAAAATTGAATCCACAAAGGATTCGAAGGAGGCAAGGCGCGTTCAAAAGAAACATTCTAAGTTGCTTTGTCAATGCAAAACGCAACAAACAATTAATCTCTCAGAGTGTCCAGAATAAGATAAGGATTTTAACTAGGCATTGCGATCATAAATCTGAACGAGAAACAATACGTTAATGATCATTAGTTCAAATGAGTCCGATCTAAATAGCACAATACATTTATCCACTCACAAGACGTTTGCTCGTTAGTTGAGGTTAGTTGAAATCGAATTGTGAGAAATAATTTTGTTAAACGGAACAAGTTCACGAATACTATCGAACATCATGAACGATAAATGAATGCTCAACTGAGATTGTCACGATAAGTTGTCGCGTTGAAGTTATCGTCGCGAATGAAAATCAAACAGATATTCTGGTAAAGACGATAATTGCCTTGTGTTCACCTGGCGAATGAATGCCGATTTCGAAGAGTAATCAAAAAATCATTTCATAAAACTGGAAAACAATTATTCATTTGACTGGTATTAAACAACAACAAGATCATCACATTAAGTTGTTGAGTATTCAGCAAAAATATCGCTAGTTCAAGATCAATGTGACTGCGAAAGGGACAGTAGATTATCGTGAGATAAGCGCGGATGAATTTATTTTATTGGCGATCAGATAACAGATTATGAGTGAATATGTAAAGAGGGAGAGGGAATTAAAAGCGTAATTAAACGAAACTCATTCGTTTTTTTCGTTAAATCTCTCGTTCGGCAGAAATTATCAATCGGATCGGATCAAAATGCACCGTCCAAGATGTCAATCGCAATTACAAAAGAAGATGAAATCGAACAATTGCAGTAGGTGAAGCCGG